GAGGCACCAGAAGTGCAAGGAGTTTATTAAGGAAATGCTGACGAGGACAAATGAAACAAGAGCCTGGGATCAGGCCAAGCCCTCAGAACTGAGTGCAGTGACCCCTGGTGAAAGAGAAGGAAGGAGAGAAACTGGATGGGACTGTCTTGCAGCATTTCTCAGAGTTTACCTAGCCCATGGGGAGTCCTCAGGCTAAGGGCACCAAACACAGGAGTCCTGTGCCTTCCAGGAAGGCGCCTGCCTCTGTGCTAGTGTCACCTTTTTGTCATTAGCTGAGAACAGTAATTGGGAGTTAAAAGTCAGAAGATGGCTGGTCAGTTTCATTCCCTCAGATCTCTGCCACAGATGGAGAGATGGATGATTGACGTCCGATAAGACAGGTGATGACAGAGAAGCAGGATGAAGAAAGACATATTTATCTTTATGGATTGTGTGGACAGGATTGTGGGCCATGGACCATCTTCTTTTGCACTTTTGTTTCTTAAAATTTCTGCACTTTAGCATGTGTATTCCTAAACAAATCTGGTTCAAGAATTCCACAAGTCTCCCTCTTTTAATTAACTCTTTTCCTAATTTCAGAAATTTACAATATTCACGGTGTGTGTATGCCCTTGATTGAGCAAATTTGCATCAAGCTTCTGATTCTACTTCCCTGTTCCCAGCATCTCCTTCCAGAAAATGTACTAGAAATTTCTCTTTGGAATAAAGAGGAAAGCCTTTCTATAATCTGTCTACATTTCCTTATCTAGTCAAGCTTATTGGTCACTGGCTGCCAATTACATTAGAAATTGGGCACACATCTCTACACTGAAATGTGTCCTAGCATTGCTTAAGAAACAGGATGGAACCATTTGGTGAAAAGCCATAGTTTAGGATCTTTCACAATTCAAAATGGTATCATTTGTGCTGTAGGAAATTTATAACTTAAGTCTGCTAGTCTAAAGTATAAGTTAATTTCATGTAAGTGTACTTTTGGTTATAATAGCCATCCTACATAGAATAGTGGCTTTCCCTCCCACCAATACATTCATGTCCACCTGGAACCTCAAGAAGTGACCTTATTTCAAAACAGTATCTTTGCAGATATAATTAATTGTAAGAATTTACACTGGATTGAAGTGGAACTTAATCTAATGACTGGAGTCCTTAGGAAGAGGAGACACAGAGAAGGTCATCTGAAGAGGGAAGACAGAGACTGAAGTGATGTGTCCACAAACCAAGGATTACCAACAACCACCAGAGCTAGGAAGAGACAAGGAGGATGCCTTAGCATCACCAGAGGGAGCACAGCCCTGACAATGTCTTGGTTCTGGACTTCTGATCTGTAGAACAGTGAGAGAATAAATTCCTGTTAATTTGAGCCACCCAGCTTGTTTCTCTTTGTTACAATGGCCTTAGTCACAATGACAAAACTGTACATGGAGGTACCTGTGGACCAAGAGCATGTGAGAGAGGCCCCATGTGCATCCACCTTGTGTCCTCCCTCCTCGACCAGCACAGTCCCTTGGCAATGAAACATACTGGTTGAGTACAGGTGACACGTGAGCTACTTTGAGGAACCACCCTCTCTGCCAAATCACATTCCAAAACCAAGAGCCATGCTGTAGTGTGAATGTGGATAGCTGGAAAACGTACAAGCAAAATACATGCTGACTCTAGGGTCTTCAAAAGCAAGGATTCCCACCTCCACAGAGTGCTTCTTCCACTTCAATGTCAGTAGAGGAAACCTTTGACAAGCAAAGGTGAGGCCATCCTTAGAGGAGAGGACAAGTGAGATAGAATGGGGCTTTGTTTTTAATGCACATTGACTGTTAATGTATATAACAAAACACGAGTCTAGGGACAACTCTTCTAGGCAATTGATCATTATTGCCAATCTCTGTCTGTGAGAAGCCAACAACCTTTTGTAGTAATGGTGATATCACAGTAAGTGCCCACAGTCATGCACAACACAGGCCTGTAGGGGCCAGGACCACAAAATGGGCTAGTACAGACAGCATACAGTTCTGGTTAGCCCTGTAGGTGAAGCCAAAGCCAGAACCTCAAAGCTGTTAAGCCACGAGGAAAAGAGGAGGTGGCCTTGGTGTCTCCATCAACTAGAATGGAATTGGAGAGATTGGAGTGGAACAGAGGCTGAGGCCTAGGGAAACCTGGCAGGGTGCAGAGAGAGATCCACATCAGAGGTAAGAGGAGAGCAGAGGATAAAGGGAATGCTGTGATTGGAATGTCCCCTCCAAAACTCATGCAGCCATTCGATAGCCATTGTGATGGTAGCTAGGGTTGGAATCACCCTTGAGATGTGATTAGTCTGCCCTCATGAATGGATTAATGCAGGTACCGCAGGAGAACTCTGGCTGGTTTGTAATAGTTTTGAGCCCCTCCTGCCTTCTCTTTCTGTCTCAAGTGTGCTCACTTTCCTTCTGGTCATGTGATCAAACAGCATGGAGGCCCTCTCCTGCTATGCTCTTGGACTTCCCATCTTCTAGAACCATGAGTCAAATGAACTTCTGTTGTTGGTACATCACCTGCGCTGAGGTATGCTGCCATAGCAGCGGAGATGGACTCAGACAGTGAGGGGGCTGTGGGATGAGGGCCCAGCGTCTCACCCTGGGGTTCTGCAGCACTCAGGAACATCCTCACACTCACTGCTTCCTTGAGCTTTAGCTGCCGCCCTTGCCCTGATGACTTTAGTTTTCCTGGCGTGGGCAAACAAAGCTCAAATGGTGTGTGCTGTGGTTCTGCAGGATTCTTCAGGGTCTCATATTCTCAAATGTCTTCTTTACTGCAGGCGTCTTGGGTCATCTGTCTGTGTTTTTGCTTTTTGGTTGTTCTGGGTTTTGAACTCAGGGTCTTGTGCTCCTTAGGCAAGTGTTCTACCACTTGAACCAGGCTCTCCCTCCCAGCCCTTTTGCTTTAGTTTATTTTTCTGATACAGTCTTTTGCTTTCTTTCAGGCCAGCCTCAGTCCACAATCCTCTGTCTCCTGAGTAACTGAGATTACAGGAGTGAGCCACCACCCCAAGCTTGTTTATTAATATAGAATCTCCCTACCTTTCCCCCAACCCCAGGGCTGGCCAAGAACTATAATCCTTCTATCTCTGCCTCCCAGGTAGCTAGGATTGCAGGCATGAGCTACCATGCCCAGCCCAATCATCATTTTTATGTATCTCATTCCTTCTGTTTGTTTCCACTGTCTAGAAGCTAGATCTAAGTTCTGGGCTGTGGAGTGACATAAAATAGTCTCTGCAACTTCACAATAAATGTTGTAATAAGTAGACAAATAGGAAAATAAAAAATCTGTATCCCATAGGCTAGAGCTGTTTGGAGAGTTCAATAAAATGGTATAAAGATGTTCCTTCACTGACAACGGGGTCACATCCTGATAAACCCACATAAGCTGAAATGGCATGTAATACACCCACACTATTGACCATCCTGGTTGAGCAGGACAGTGTACTCTACAGGGTCAGCTGTTCCCCCTGGGATCATGCAGCTGCCTGGAGCTGTGGCTGCCACTGCCCAGCATCCTGAGAGAGTCTCTGCATGTCACCAGCCTGGGGAAAGATATAAAGTCAGAATTCAAAGCATGGTTTCTGCTGAAAGCATATCTCTTTTCCACAATCATAACGCCAAAGAATCAAACCATCCTAAGTGAGGGACCATGTGTTTTTTATTTTTGTTTCTTTGGTTTTTTTTTTTTTTGCCTGTTTTTATTTTTCTTGCCGTGTTAGGGATTGAACCCAGGGCCTTGAGCATGCTAGGTAAGTGATCCCATACTGAACCTCACCCCAGCCAAGGGATCATCTGTGTGTGGAGAGTGTAGCAGGCTGAATTTATTCAGGAAAGTGAAGCTTGCATAGTGATTTCAGAGAAAAATTGTAATGCAAAATTTATTAACTCTAAGTAAGTTATATTTGACAGACATAAGGGATGTCTTTAAGGGTCCTATGGTATCCAAGAAAGGAGAGCCTTGGACAGGTTCAGATCTCACTGGGGAAATGTGGATTGACAACTGGAGAGGCTGAGATCCAGAGAAGTCAGCCACAGACTGACACTGAACTGGAGTTGCTGGGTATAAAAGTCTACCCCCTTCAAGGCAGGCAGGGCCCAACATCAGCAGTCCCTGGTGCACTAGGGCCCTGTGCTCCCAAAAGCAGAGAGCCTTCAAAGGAGAGGCAGGCATGCAGTTAGGGGTAATGGTCTGCAGAGAGCACACTGCTCAGGTGGACCCCAGGCCATAGACATGATGCATATGGGCCAGACTGAAGCTGCCAGGCTGCAGAGGAATTGGTCTCAGGGCCTGGGGCTCAGGGAGGTCCACTGAAAGTCCTCACACTGACATGGGTGACCTGAAAGGCCCTGAAGAAATTTCAGGAATTCATTTCCTCTTGTGGTGGTCCTTCTGTTCCCTTTACTGAGGTAGCTAAACCTGGTGCTCACTTTAAAGGAGAAATGCTCACAGGAAGTGTGTGTTACTTATACAGCATACAAGAAAGGGCACATTTGAAGCTTAGAGGTAATAAATTAAATCATACAGAGAGCTTAAAAAAGATACTGGAGCATAGTAAGTGCTCAGTTTTTATATTATTAATTTTTGGGGGGTTACTGAGATTTGAACTCTGGGCCTCACATTTGTTAGACAGGCATTCTATCACTACAGTCACTGCCAGCTAAACTTTTTAATTGATATTTTATTTGTACATATTTATGCAGCACAAGGCAAGGATTCATTGCATGTACACAATGTGTAATAATCAAGGCAGAGCGATTAGCATTTCCTAATCCTCAGACATTCATTATGTGCTCAGTTATTGAAATCTACGGAAATTATACATTTTATTCAATAAGTCTCAATGTGTTTAAATTATATGGAACACGTTTAAAAGTTACATAGTCATGTTAATATTTGTTGTATAGTTTATTATTGTGTAAAATTTAACCAGACACAAGGTGGCTGGTGTATAAAATATTTCTAATTTCTTTTTTCATTTTTTTATGTAGGTGTTATACAATATATTAATTGCCTTCACCAAAATGCATAAATTTGAAGACATAGAACCTGTTGACATTTTGGCTGGATGTGCCCGATTCATCATGGTGGGATGTGGAGGAGTATTTTTTGGCATCATTTTTGGATTTATTTCTGCATTTATCACACGTTTCACTCAGAACATCTCTGCAATTGAACCCCTCATCGTCTTCATGTTCAGCTATCTGTCTTACTTAGCAGCTGAAACACTCTATCTCTCTGGTATCCTGGCGTAAGTACAGTCCAGGCATCAAGTTGCATGGTAATATGAGGAAAATTTAGGACCACATGAGATGAGCTAGGTATCCAGAAGAGTTCAGGTTTCTGATGATAATCCTCAGAGGTTTTGCAGGACTTTGGATTTAAATTTTTTCTCTGTGTGAAAATCTGATTCATGTACTTTGCCAAACAAATGTTCTTTCCAACAATTGGGTAAGTAAGCTTTTCTGGGGTGATTTTTCTGAGGAACATGTAGCAGCCATAATGTCAATTTAAAATGCTGTGAAAAGCTGTTGCAGAAGCCAGGCCCAGTGGCTCAAGACTGTAATCCTAGCTACTTCAGAGGCTGAGATCCAAAGGATGGTGGTTCAAGACCAGCCTAGGCAAATAAAAGTTCACAAGACCTCATATCACAAATAGCTGGGTGTGGTGGTCCATGCCTGTCATCCCAGCTACAGTGGTAAGCCTAAAATAGAAGGATCGTGGTCTGAGACCCTATCTCCAAAATAACCAGGGCAAAAAGGTCTGGAGGCACAGCTCAAATATTAGAGAACCTGCCTAGCAAGCACAAAACCTTGACCTCAAACTTCAGTAACACACACACAAAGAATAAAGCAAATAAAAAATAAAAATAAATATATAAAATAAAATTGGTGCAGAGAACTGGGGAGAGATAAAGGTTAAAGTCCATCTCAGTACTTTTTTCCCTTGAAACATTAATTTCCAGATGGAAGGGAGGCATGCCATGGGGAAATTTCTGCCTTCTGCCCTTCTCCTCAAATAACATCACAGCTCATGACTCTTCAGTGTGAAAGGAAGCTAGAGAGATGGCATAAAACTACAAATCTAGATTTTCTCCATTCTAATGAAGATATTTGTTTAGATGTTTTTCCTTGTGTTTGTGAGGCCTTGAGATGTTTTTCATAGGATGAGTCTCCTCAGTTTGGCTTGTTATACCTGGCTGTGTTGTTTTCTCTATGGCATTGAGTTGGTATTCAGCTGTTCAGGCAGAAACATCTAATTTTATTGCATAAGAATACCTATGTCAATTAAATATAATACTATAGATTCTAGGAATCTATCATTTCCCCATGGTAAAAATGACTGAAACTGCTGAGACAAGACAAAGTTCTTTCTTTTCCCCATACTTGGAAAATGGCTGTAGAACAGAAGCACATGAAATGAAAAATTGTCATAAGATTGTTATAAGAAAAGCTGTTTGGAGAAAACAAGGTTCTTGCTGGGTTATTCTTGCTGTCCAACTGAAGTGGATTAATTTTGGTTTATGCCAGAGTGGAACAGAAAGTAAGATTTGGGGCTGACGAAGCTCTCAACAAAGCTTCTGCTTTGCCTAAGTGAATTGTCTGACATTTTTTTAAAGGAGGCCATACCACATCTCTCTTCCCCACTCCACTAACTCTTTGTTGTAGATATATGTAGGGAATAGAGAAGAGGAAGACAGAAAAATCTGTGGAAAATCTTTAGCCAGAGAATGGCAATGGAGGAGACACTGATGCTAGATAAAGACAGGCTTTGTGTATCTGTGTCACCAACACTGGGGAGGACTTTTGTTGGAGGTGTTAAAAAAAAAAAACAACTTGTTGCTTATCTTTGAGACTCTGCTCATTTTGTAGAATCACAGCTTGTGCAGTGACAATGAAAAAGTATGTGGAAGAAAATGTGTCCCAGACATCCTACACGACCATCAAGTATTTCATGAAGATGCTGAGCAGTGTCAGTGAGACCTTGATCTTCATCTTCATGGGCGTGTCCACCATTGGGAAGAACCACGAGTGGAACTGGGCCTTCATCTGCTTCACGCTGGTCTTCTGCCAGATATGGAGAGCCATCAGTAAGAGCTGCAGTATCCCCAAGACCCTCTGCCTGGCTTCTCCTTAGCCTCAGTCCTTTACGCAGTGGAAAAACATAAAGAAGAAGGGATTTGATGCTAAACTGTTTTACTGGTTAGAGAAGTCTAGGCTCCCTGTAGTGACCAGGAATGTTTTCTATTTGCTCACTAATTACTCAAATTACTAATTACTCAAAGTAATTAGTGACTGGCTGATGAGGTTTTGAAGCGGGGCTGGAGCAGAGTACTGAGTTTTTTAATTAAAGAAAGAATTTTCACATCTACACATTTAAATATAACAAAGTAAATGTAGCCCTTGCTCTTCGCTTCTTTGATAATTTGTAGCCTCTTGCACCTTAAATTAGATATAGATTATAAACTGTGGGCATTTACACTTTTGTTAAGGATAAGTGAGATCTCACAAATTTTATTCTATATAAGACAAACACTGTTGGAAAACATTCCCTTAAATAGTGTAGCTGGTTTGAGGGCTGAGTGCATGATGTATATATAGCAAACAGAGGACCAAGAGTAAATTGTTCTTTAAAAAGCTTACTCTTAATTATCATACTAGTTAGTAAAGACAAATATGTAACTGACCTCAACCCTGAAAAATCTACCTAATTTTTAAAAAATAAATCCCAGCGACTGCAGATACATCTTGTACATTTATTTTTCAGAAGCTAGAAAAGAACACTAGACACTGGAGTGCAATATACATGTTGCCTTTGAGCAGAAGCAATTGTATTTTTAAATGACTTTGACTAATCATTTAAGTCAATTACTCAAAATTAGGAGAAATGGCTGAGAACTCAAGTTGAATGTATCAATTCCAAATTACTGTAGGATGGCTTTTAGGATGGAGAAAAGAATAGCAAGAATGCAAAATTATTAAAATATTCATAAAAGTAATTGAACACACAATCCTATCCCTAGTGAAAAGATAATTAAGGACACTGAAATACAAATTTAAAATCTCAAGTCCAATTCTGGCAAGATTACTGAAGTTGGATGGACATTTATCTAGTCAAAATCTTCTTCCTCAACCAAACAATAATGGACTTAACATTTTTTTTTTAGATTTTTTGATTGTAATATTCTATGGATTTACAGGGTAGTAGAGCTAATGTCAAGAGAAGTAACATTACAGAGCTCTGGTACAGCCAATAGGAAAATGAACTACCTAAGAATGGATTAATATTGTAGATACCTCAACACTATGCACCCTTAGTGACCACCCTGCCCAACTCTTGTAGCTGAGAGAATTGGTGGAGTCACCACTGAGAGAGTGAGTGACCTACTTGGCCACATCACAGTGATTGACAGAGCAAGTGTTAGAAGCCAGTTCTCTGGCTCACTGTTCTCTCTCCCTCCTGACTCATCATTGTTAATAATAGTGATTATGAAGGGTTTAACATAGAAGACCCTTATTTCTGTTATTTATGGATATTAAATTTACTTAACATTTCATATACCCTTGGAGGTAAGTATACTGGCCCTCTATATCCATGGGTTCTGCATCTGTAGATTCAACCAATCACAGATCAAAAAGAGTAGAAAAAAATGCATCTGTATTAAACATGTGCACACATTTTTTTGCTTGTTCTCACTCCCTAAACTATTGACCTAGCATTGACAGTGCACTAGGTACTATACGTAATCTAGAGATGATTTACAGTCTGTGGGAGGATATGTGTAGGTTATAAGCAAATACTACATCATTTAATAAAAGGGACTTGAGCATTCATGGATTTTGGTATCTATGGGAGTTCCCAAGGGACACCTGTACTGCTGTTATTTCTATTAAGTTTATGAGGAGTGTGATTGATCAAGAAACTTGTCTGAGGTCACATGACTGGCATACAAGACAAATAGGACAAACCAAACATAATGAAAACTTTTAAATTCTGTTGCCTTTTGTACACCACTGTGCTTGTTACCAAAGGAGGCTTGCTGTGAGCTCTGTGACTGGAACTACTTAAGGATGTGAAGAGCTGATTCTGAAATGTTCATTTAGTCAGAGCTGTAGCAAAGGGACTCTTCCTACCAGGAACCAGGACCTGCATGGTACCTAAGTCACGCAGAACACATGAAACTGGAGAATCGGCGTAGTGGAAACCACTTCTGTGTTTTGAGCAAGCTCCTCTGCCCTCCAGCCTCCACTTACAAAGCCCGCTAAACCCTCACTAACTTCCTTGCTTGCCTGCATTGGAACTCAAGAAGAATTGAACCAGCTAGCTCAGTCACTGAGAGTGCTCCCCTCACACTTTTGGGTATCAAATGAGAATGAGATAAGAATACTTTTATTTCCAAATACCTGCTTTAACTGGTTTTGAAAGACAGAATATAGACAGATCTATATTCTAACCTATGAATATAGATTAGAGATACATACCTTATGTAAAAAACTCAAGTTTTATTACCTTATACACATGTATGAATACACACACTACACATTCTAGGCAGCTACTAGAGAAAACTTCCAAATTGAGGCACTATTGCCTCACGAACAGCCAAAAAATGAAGAGGCTGGAATAATTCTTTACTTGGGATGGGTGGTCTTGGGTATGTGATGGAATCAGGGAGCCTGGTTTGGACGGCAGGTGCATATGGATTTCAGTTCTCTAGCATTGAATCCCTACCGTTCATCACCCTCTGCTCTAATACATATTTCCCCCTTTCTAGGCGTATTTGCTCTCTTCTATGTCAGTAACCAGTTTCGGACTTTCCCCTTCTCCATCAAGGACCAATTCATAATTTTCTACAGTGGTGTGAGAGGAGCTGGAAGTTTTTCACTTGCGTTTTTGCTTCCTCTGTCCCTTTTTCCTAGGAAGAAATTGTTTGTCACTGCTACATTAGTAGTTATATACTTTACTGTATTTTTTCAGGTTGGTAGATTTCCTTCATATTCAAAATAAGTAGATTCTTCCAGGACTATATTTTAATTAGTAAAATATAAGTAAAGCACTTTTCTGATTTTTAGATCTCTTTTGAATACTCAAACTAAATTATCAGATATTTATAGGTTATGTTAATGATCAGACTTTTTCTTCTAATATATGTTACCTTTTAGTCAACACAACCTATCTATTACAATATTCCAGGGTGATAAGCAAGTGATTGCTACTCTACTATTTACCTTGAATTAGTATTTGATAGCACAGATTTTGGTTTTGGCTGAAGTTAGCTTTTAGTAAGCTAACAAATGTTTATTTTAAAGGATGAAATCCAATTCCTGTATTAAAATATAGAAAATAAGATGTATTTTATTGCAGTATTTGAAAGAATTAAGAACTAAAGTAAACATTGAAGCACTTATCCAGTGGAAGCTAGAAAGAAAAACATACAAATTGATGTTCTCATGGTTGTGATACTATACATGGTCTCTGTATTGACATACCCACTCAGCAGAACCCTATATTTTGTTATTTATGATCTAGGGAATCACAATTGGTCCTCTGGTCAGGTACCTGGATGTCAGAAAGACCAATAAAAAAGAATCCATCAATGAAGAGCTTCATATCCGTGTAAGTTAACTTCATATCATAATTAATGAATTAATAAATTTGTTCCCATTTACACCTATGAAATAATCTAGAGCCTTGATGAAACTCGTGTACCTGTCACCAGACTTGTAGCCTCTTCCTCCCAAGCTACAGTGAAAGTGACTGTGCTAGTTTACTATTGCTGCTGGAGGGAAGTAACAGCTTAGTGGCTTCAAAAAACACAAATGTGTGATCTTGTAGTTTTTGAGGTAGATGTTTGAGATGGGTCTCAACAGAGGTGTCACAGAGCTCATTTCTTTCTGGAGGCTCTAGGGAGTACTTAGTTCCTTGCCTAGGCTTCGACATACTTCCTGTATTCTTTGGCCCATGCCCCCTTCTATCTCCAAAACAACTAATACAGGTCAGGTCTCCCTCACACTGCATCACTGGGACAATTGCTCTTCTGCCTTCCTCTTCCACACCAAGAACATTTGAATGCATTGGGGTTTGGGTAGAATCAATCGTGAGGCATAATTCTTCTTTATTTGTGAAACTGAAGAAACAATTTGCCTGACCGCAAATTTTACTGGCAGGACAGTTGTCTTATTATAGTTATCTATATTCCCTTTCAAAAAGGACAAAAAAATGGAAGCAAAAAAGAAGTCATTGATTTCAAGATAATTGCAACATCCTCCTGGGCAATTCATGATTTCCAGGCCTGAAAATATTGTAATCCCTGTGATTCTTTCTGCTGTCCTCTGGGTTCTTGACTCTAGTCTCTGACTCAGCTTCACTTATTAGTGATAGTACTATTCCTTTGCAGGTTGAGTGATTTCATCAGCCAGTTCCTTGACTGTATAATTTGGGGATCCAACAGCCTTCTTTTATCTCAAGTGGTGGTGTTTCTCTAGGTGTTCAATAGGGAAGTAAAGCAGGGAGATAAATGAAGAAATGTATGGTTTATAGTCTCTCTTTTTTTATTTGTGGGACTGGGGTTTGGAACTCAGGGCTTAGTGCTTGCAAAGCAGGCTCTCTACTACTTTAGCCATATCTGCAGTACATTTTGCTGTGGTTATTTTAGAGATGATCTCATGAAATATTTGCCTGGGCTGATCTCAAACCTTAATCCTCCCAATCTCAGCCTACCAAGTAGTTAGGATTACTGGTATAAGCCATTGGCACCTGGCTGGTTTATACTCTTGTGGGAGAAGGCTAGCAGATCCAAAATACACAGGACAGATCATCAAAGAGAGTGGACTGGAACTTTTTTCATGAGATAAAGCTGTTGTCCACAAGTGAAACTTCTTATTAGGGAAGTCTCAGGTCTATTCTAATAGTCTTTCAACTGACCAAACAAGGCCACTCAGATTATACAGGCTCATCTCCCTTACTCAAAGACAATGGGCTCTGAACTCTGCTCATATCTACAAAATGTTTTCACATATATTCAAATATATTCTAGATTAGCATGTGATTGAATAGTTTGGGATTCTTCCATCAGGTTGAACACCTCAGAAGACTCTCACAGAGACTAATGTTCAAAGTTATCCTGCATGCTTCTAAAATCATAGTCTACAAAAATATGGGGTCCTCTACTCTTTCTGAACTCTTTTTTTTATTGTTTCATTATTTATATGTGCATATAAGACTTGGGTCATTTCTCTCCCCTGCCCCCAACCCTCCGTTACAACCCACTCTGCCCCCTCCCTCTCCCCCCGCACCTCATCAATACCCAGCAGAAACTATTTTGCCCGTATCTCTAATTTTGTTGAAGAGAGAGCATAAGCAATAACAGGAAGGAACAAGGGTTTTTGCTGGTTGAGATAAGGATAGCTATACAGGGCATTGACTCACATTGATTTCCTGTGCGTGTGTATTACCTTCTAGGTTAATTCTTTTTGATCTCACCTTTTCTCTAGTTCCTGGTCCCCTTTTCCTATTGGCCTCAGTTGCTTTTAAGGTATCTGCTTTAGTTTCTCTGCGTTAAGGGCAACAAATGCTAGCTAATTTTTTAGGTGTCTTACCTATCCTCACCCCTCCCTTGTGTGCTCTCGCTTTTATCATGTGCTCAAAGTCCAATCCCTTGTTGTGTTTGCCCTTGATCTAATGTCCACATATGAGGGAGAACATACGATTTTTGGTCTTTTGGGCCAGGCTAACCTCACTCAGAATGATGTTCTCCAATTCCATCCATTTACCAGCGAATGATAACATTTCGTTCTTCTTCATGGCTGCATAAAATTCCATTGTGTATAGATACCACATTTTCTTAATCCATTCGTCAGTTGTGGGGCATCTTGGCTGTTTCCATAACTTGGCTATTGTGAATAGTGCCGCAATAAACATGGTGTGCAGGTGCCTCTGGAGTAACAGTCTTTTGGGTATATCCCCAAGAGTGGTATTGCTGGATCAAATGGTAGATCAATGTTTAGCTTTTTAAGTAGCCTCCAAATTTTTTCCAGAGTGGTTGTACTAGTTTACATTCCCACCAACAGTGTAAGAGGGTTCCTTTTTCCCCGCATCCTCGCCAACACCTGTTGTTGGTGGTGTTGCTAATGATGGCTATTCTAACAGGGGTGAGGTGGAATCTTAGTGTGGTTTTAATTTGCATTTCCTTTATTGCTAGAGATGGTGAGCATTTTTTCATGTTTTTTGGCCATTTGAATTTCTTCTTTTGAGAAAGTTCTGTTTAGTTCACTTGCCCATTTCTTTATTGGTTCATTAGTTTTGGGAGAATTTAGTTTTTTAAGTTCCCTATATATTCTGGTTATCAGTCCTTTGTCTGATGTGTAGCTGGCAAATATTTTCTCCCACTCTGTGGGTGTTCTCTTCAGTTTAGAGACCATTTCTTTTGATGAACAGAAGCTTTTTAGTTTTATGAGGTCCCATTTATCTATGCTATCTCTTAGTTGCTGTGCTGCTGGGGTTTCATTGAGAAAGTTCTTACCTATACCTACTAACTCCAGAGTATTTCCTACTCTTTCCTGTATCAACTTTAGAGTTTGGTCTGATATTAAGATCCTTGATCCATTTTGAGTTAATCTTGGTATAGGGTGATATACATGGATCTAGTTTCAGTTTTTTGCAGACTGCTAACCAGTTTTCCCAGCAGTTTTTGTTGAAGAGGCTGCTATTTCTCCATCGTATATTTTTAGCTCCTTTGTCAAAGACAAGTTGGTTATAGTTGTGTGGCTTCATATCTGGGTCCTCTATTCTGTTCCACTGGTCTTCATGTCTGTTTTTGTGCCAGTACCATGCTGTTTTTATTGTTATTGCTTTGTAATATAGTTTGAAGTCAGGTATTGTGATACCTCCAGCATTGTTCTTTTGACTGAGTATTGCCTTGGCTATTCGTGGCCTCTTGTGTTTCCATATAAATTTAACAGTAGATTTTTCAATCTCTTTAATGAATGTCATTGGAATTTTGATGGGAATTGCATTAAGCATATAGATTACTTTTGGGAGTATAGACATTTTTACTATGTTGATTCTACCAATCCATGAGCATGGGAGATCTCTCCACTTTCTATAGTCTTCCTCAATCTCTTTCTTCAGAAGTGTATAGTTTTCCTTGTAGAGGTCTTTTACATCTTTTGTTAGGTTTACACCTAGGTATTTGATTTTTTTTGAAGCTATTGTAAATGGAATTGTTTTCATACATTCTTTTTCAGTTTGCTCATTGTTAGTGTATAGAAATGCTAATGATTTTTGTATGCTGATTTTATATCCTGCTACCTTGCTATAGCTATTGACGATGTCTAGAAGCTTCTGAGTAGAGTTTTTTAGGTCTTTTGTCATCTGTAAATAGGGATATTTTGACAGTTTCTTTACCTATTTGTATTCCTTTTATTCCTTCTTCTTGCCTAATTGCTCTGGCTAGGAATTCCAGTACTATGTTGAATACGAGTGGAGATAGTGGGCATCCTTGTCTGGTTCCTGATTTTAGAGGGAATGGTTTCAGTTTTTCTCCATTAAGTATAATGCTGGCTGTAAGTTTGTCATATATAGCTTTTATAATGTTGAGGTACTTTCCTTCTATTCCTAGTTTTCTTAGAGCTTTTATCATGAAATAGTGTTGGATCTTATCAAAGGCTTTTTCTGCATCTATTGAGATGATCAAGTGGTTTTTGTCTTTGCTTCTGTTAATGTGGTTTATTACGTTTATTGATTTTCGTATGTTGAACCACCCCTGCATTCCTGGGATGAAGCCTACTTGGTGTGGTGAATAATCTTTTTGATGTGTTGTTGAATTCGGTTTGCCATTATTTTGTTGAGGATTTTTGCATCAATGTTCATTAAGGAGATTGGCCTATAGTTCTCCTTTTTGGAGGTGTCTTTGCCTGGTTTTGGGATAAGTGTAATACTGGCTTCATAAAATGTGTTTGGCAGTTTTCCTTCCCTTTCTATTTTGTGGAACAGTTTAAGGAGGGTTGGTATCAGTTCTTCTTTAAAGGTCTGATAGAATTCAGCAGAGAATCCATCAGGTCCTGGACTTTTCTTTTTGGGGAGACTCTTGATTGCTGCTTCAATTTCATTTTGTGTTATAGATCTATTCAGGTGATTAATTTCCTCTTGGTTCAGTTTTGGATGATCATATGTATCTAGAAATCTGTCCATTTCTTTTAGATTTTCAAATTTATTTGAATATAGGTTCTCAAAGTAGTCTCTGATGATTTCCTGGACTTCCATGGTGTTTGTTGTTATCTCCCTTTTGCATTCCTGATTCTACTAATTTGGGTTTTTTCTCTCCTCATTTTAGTCAGGTTTGCCAGGGGTCTATCGATCTTGTTTATTTTTTCAAAGAACCAACTTTTTGTTTCATTAATTCTTTGTATGGTTTTTTGGTTTCTATTTTGATTTCAGCTCTTATTTTTATTATTTCTCCCTATTTGTTTTGGGATTTGCTTGTTCTTGTTTTTCTAGGAGTTTGAGATGTATCATTAGGTCATTGATTTGGGATCTTTCAGTCTTTTTAATATATGCACTCATGGCTATAAACTTTCCTCTCAGGACTGCCGTTGCTGTGTCCCATAGGTTCCGGTAGGCTGTGTTTTCATTTTCATTGACTTCCAGGAACTTTTTAATTTCCTCTTTTATTTCATCGATGATCCATTGTTCATTAAGTAATGAGTTATTTAGTTTCCAGCTGTTTGCATGTTTTTTATCTTCACTTTTGTTGTTGAGTTCTACTTTTACTGCATTGTGATCAGATAGTATGCACGGTATAATTTCTATTTTCTTATATTTGCTGAGGCTTGCTTTGTGCCCTAGGATATGATCTTTTTGGAGAAGGTTCCATGGGCTGCTGAGAAGAATGTATATTGTGTAGAAAGAAGTTGGATGAAATGTTCTGTAGACATCAAGTAGGTCCATTTGATCTATTGTATATTTTAGATCTTGGATTTCTTTATTGATTTTTTGTTTGGCTGACCTATCTATTGATGATAATGGGATGTTAAAGTCTCCCACAACCACTGTGTGGCGTTAATATATGCTTTTAGGTCTTTCAGGGTATGTTTAATGAAATTGGGTGCGTTGACATTGGATGCATGTAGGTTGATAATTATTATTCCTTTTATTAGTATGGAATGTCCTTCTTTATCTTGTTTGATCAATGTAGGTTTGAAGTCTACTTTGTCAGAGATAAGTATTGCTACTCCTGCCTGTTTTTGGGGGCCATGGGCTTGGTAAATCTTCTTCCAGCCTTTCATCCTAAGCCTATGCTTATTTCTGCCGGTGAGATGGGTCTCCTGTAAGCAACAAATTGTTGGATCTTCCTTTTCAATCCACTTGGTCAAGCGGTGCCTTTTGATGGGTGAATTAAGTCCGTTAACATTAAGCGTTAATACTGATAGGTATGTGGTGATTCCTGTCGTTTAGTTGTGTCAGTTGTTTGAAGGTTTGATTGTGTGTACCTAAGTTGAGGTTACTCTCTACTTTCTTGCTTTTTCTTTTCCTGTATTTTGTTGCTGCCTGTCCTTTCATGGTTAAGTTGGGTTTCACTTTCTGTATGCAGAATCCCTGAAGAATCTTTTGTAATGGTGGCTTTGTGGTCACATATTGTTTTAGTTTCTGCTTATCATGGAAGACTTTTATTGCTCCATCTATTATGAATGATAGTTTTGCTGGGTAGAGTTTCCTAGGGTTGAAATAATTTTCATTCAGTGCCTGGAAGATCTCACCCCATGTTCTTCTTGCTTTTAATGTTTCTGTTGAGAAGTCTGCTGTGATTTTGATGGGTTTACCTTTGTATGTTATTTATTTTTTCTTTCTTACAGCCTTCAATATTCTTTCCCTAGTTTCTGAACTTGTTGTTTTAATGATGATATGTCGTGGGGTAGTTCTATTTTGATCTGGTCTGTTTGGTGTCCTGGAGGCCTCTTGCATCTGTATGGGAATATCTTTCTCTAGATTTGGGAAATTTTCTGTTATTATTTTGTTGAATATATTACGCATTCCCTTTGCTTGCACCTCTTCTCCTTCTTCGATGCCCATGATTCTCAAGTTTGGTCTTTTGATGGAGTCAGTGAGTTCTTGCATTTTCTTTTCACAGGTCTTGAGTTAATTATTTAATAATTCTTCGTTTTTCCTTTAATTATCATTTCATCTTCAAGTTCTGAGGTTCTATCTTCTGTTTGTTCTATTCTGCTAGATTGGCCTTCTGTTTTGTTTTGCAGTTCTGTTTCATTCTTTTTTCTGAGGTTTTCCATATCCTGGTGGTTTCCTCTTTAATGTTGTCTATTTTTGTCCTGAGTTCATTTATCTGTTTATTAATTGTGTTCTCTGTTTCACTTTGGTGTTTATACAGTGCTTCTATGGTTTCCTTTATTTCTTCTTTTGCTTTTTCAAATTCTCTATTTTTGTTGTCTTGGAATTTCTTGAGTGTCTCCTGTACATTTTGGTTGACCTATCCAGTATCATCTCTATAAAATTCTCATTGAGTACCTGTAGTATGTCTTCTTTTAAATTATTCTTGTGGGCTTCATTGGGTTCTTTGGCATAGTTTATCTTCATTTTGTTGGAGTCTGGATCTGAGTATCTGTTTTCTTCATTTCCCTCTGGTTCCTGTACTAATTTTTTGCTGTGGGGAAACTGGTTTCCCTGTTTTTTCTGTCTTCCGTCATTGTCCTTGGTGTTGTTACTGTCCCTGTACTGTGTGCAATTAAGTATTTTCTAGCTTGTAATAATAACAATGGTAATATTTAGAATGGAAGGGTGAGAGGAGATGGAAAGCAAGAAGTTAAAGAAAAGGGAAAAACAAATAAACACACAAGTAGGAGAAAACAAAACAAGGAATCAAACAAGAAAGTTTCAAAGGTATAAACAGGGAGCGTTAGTGTACTAATTGACAGTAAGCTGAACAGGCATTAGAGAGACAGAGAGAGGATTGAAAATAAAAAATAAAAAGAATAAAGATAAGAATAAAAATAAAAATAAGTAAATGAAAGAAATATATATATATATAAATAAAATAAAACAAAATGAAAAATAGAAAATAAAAAAAAAACCCTCCAAGTTCAAATGCAATGAAGTTTCAGTCTTAATAATTTTGGTGTCCATCTCAGTCTCCAATCCTGGAGATGGTGCCTCAGATGTTGTTCTGTAGTTGTCTCATCAAAGGGGATGCATAAAGTAGAACAAAACTGCACACACACACACACAAAAACCCACAGTGTCCCAAGTTCAAATGCAATACAGTTTCAGTAAGTTTTTCAGCATGCAGGTGTAGTTCAGTTGTTTTCTCATCAAAGGTAGGGAGAGAGAAAAAAAAAACAGTCTGGAGACGGGTCTATGGTATCTGCAGCTGTGGCTTGCCTGCCCACTGCTGTCAGCCTGCTGTTGCTGGAGGCGTTGTTTATGCAGTTCTCTGGGGTGAGCTTAGCACTCATCTGGCCCTGCAGGCTTTGTTTACTCAGAGTTCTCCTGTGCGTGAGCCGCTGCTACAAGCTTTCCCCTTTCCAAGCACACTGAGGGAGGTGACACTGCACCTGCTTTTCAGGCCTGTGTGTTTATTTACAGCTCAAGTGGGAAGTGGGTCTTCCCCCCTTCCTGTGGAGTTTTCCTTCCTCCACCACTCTCACAAGCTTTCCCACTCCTGATTGCTGGGTGCGTGCCCCTGCTCCTGCTGGAGCCTCTCTTGTTTATTTACAGTTCTGGGAAGGATTCCCTTCCCCCAATCTTTGGTGCTCAGTGCACCCCACCCTCTTTCCCGTGTGTCTTTATTGTTCTTATTGCCTATTCCTCAGTTTCTCTTTTTTCCCCTGGTGGAGGTCGGTCTGTCCAGGGGGCTATGCTGCTCTGGCCCGGAGCTGTCTGTGGGAGTACCGCAGTACTGCTAAGCTCACCTGGTCCGCATCTTCCTAAGCCGTCTGGGTGTGGGCTACTGGCGGCCCAGGGGCCCTCCTGGTTTCTCCATTTAACATGAAGTGGAGATGCTCTGTGCCAGCTGGAGGTGTGGAGGGGGTCAAAGTTTTGCCTCTTCTCGGTGGTTCTGCCTGCAAGGTGTGTCTCCAGCGTCTCTCCAAGATTTCACTATAGGAGGCTCGCTTTCTGCTTCCTCCCTCTAGCCGCCATCTTCTCTTTCTGAACTCTTAATAAGAAAAGAGTACAGGCTGTTATTACTTCTATAGATCTTGCCTAGTGGTAATTTGGAGTGGCAACATTCCACTATGACAAAGATGACAGATACTCGGTTTCTAGCAGTTTAACTAATTTATGGGGAATTTATTGGGAGAGGAAAGAGAAGGAGAGTGAGACGGAGGGGGAGGGGGAGAGGGAGCATCAACAAGACTTCAGCTTTGTTATGAAAGCATTCTGGTCATTATTTCTTGATGAGCACACCCAAAGTGAAATGAGTGTGGGCAAGCAGTGACTGGGCGCACTTGGCTCATGGCTATTCAGGGGATTCAGGCTCTGAGTAAATAACTGGGCCAGACACTTTTTAGGTTTCCTCTATCCCTGAGGATTCATAGTTCTAATGAAATCGTCCCAAATCATCCCTGAATTTCATAGTAAAAGTTATCCAAGGAAATAAAGTAATTCAAATCCCATGAAATCCAAACTAAAAATTTTCAAGGTCACTTGAAAATATTTGACAGAGTAGGACATGGAGTATTTTAAACCATAATAGCTTAATCTGATTTTTGTCCCTATTTTTATCTCCTCAGATTCATTATTTTGAGAAATTATACAATATATTATATAAGTCTATAGAACTTCAATATTTTACTCCCTTATCATTTATTTTTTATTTTTTTCAAAAATCACCCCTAACAGCAGAAGACAGTAAATCAATTAAGTATTTAAGGAATAATTTGGTATTTGAATCTATTTTGCAAAAAAAAATTTAGAAACAAGTATAGACTTCAACAATTTCTAACTTAAATTGTTTAGAGACTAATATGCAAGAATTTTAAGATTGTGTTTTCCCTTAAATTCTTGTAAACAATAAAAATTGTAGTATAATTGGCTTGGCTGTTGAAATGTCTAAATGATTAGGTACAGTCTCATTTTAATAGATTATCTGGAGAATTTTATTTTGAGAAACTGTATGAATTGGATGCTGGTAAGGTTTTTTGACAATGAAATTAAAACTTACAGTTAATTATTAGACATATTTATATGATTCCTATAATAAGAAATTTCTTACATCATTCTAGAAAAGTATTATTCAAAGGAAATCCCAGGTGCCCTGTTTTTGTTATATGTCCTGTGAATTTTCAAGAGCTTATCTATAAGATCTTTTAGTCATGAAACTAAGTTGACTTGCCATGACATATTTTAGTTACATGAATAGATTGATAGAAAAGAAGATATACTTCAATAAATTAAAGCCTCCTCTAGTTTCCAAAGTATATTAATTTTTCTTGTATGCTTTTTAGAGCTTGTAGTTCACCAGCAACCATTTTCTTATGTTTGGTTTGGCAGCTGATGGATCATTTGAAGGCTGGAATCGAAGATGTGTGTGGGCAATGGAGCCACTACCAAGTGAGAGACAAGTAAGGAGGTCAGGATTTCATCCTACTAAGGATAATTGTGGCACAGGGACATTCCAAAGGGGACCAGGAAGATAAAGGGCCCAGGAGCCACTGTGTACAAGAAACGGTTGGAAGTCTTGGACATGCCTAGTCTGGGAAATGAGAGCTGTCAGGCAGAGGAGACTATTGACTTGGTTTAGGTTGCTTCAGTGAGAACTAACACAACTGATATATGGAAATTAGAAAACTTTATTTAAGGTAAAAACAGGGTCAAGGTTCTTCATGATAAAAGTGGCTCAACCAAGTCAGAAGGCTGCAAAGGGCATTTGGTGACTAGTTAGGAATTTTGGAGAGGGATTCCATCACTGTGGAGAGCACTCCAAAGGAAGACCTGCAAGGGTTCTTCCTACATAATGATTCTTTCTTCTTTGCTGTCTCTCACATTTCTGAACCAATGCCGTTTCTGACTTAGTCTAGAGGAGAAAGACAATGGTTGTAGACAAAGGATGTGAGTTGTCAGTGAGTGGTTGTTGGCAGCTGAAGCCATGGGATGCATGAGATTATGACAAGGGTGTGAAGAGAAGACACCAACTGAAGATAGGACTCTGAGAAGCAGAAGGAGACAGGAAGAAGTGTCCAGGAAGGCTGGGAGGAAAGCAGAAGTGAGCTAGTATATGGAAGACACTGAGAAATGACCCAGTACGTAGAGAGACACAAATGGCCAGTAGAGTTAGGGCAATGGCAGCCACTGGAGTTGAAGAGAACAGATCAAGGTGGCTCAGCAAGAAGAATGTCAGACTCATGGCAAAGGTGGGGATTACAGAAGGATAAAGACCAGGAACCATGGCCTGTCATGAAAAAGAGCAGAAAACTAGAAGATCAAAGGGTTACCCAGTTGAAGCAAGAGTAGGTGTGATTGGAGGCAAACAGATCACAAAGCTTAGGAGTCAGCCTGCCACACCTGGCGGGGACTTAATGAATAAGGAGGCTGCCAACCTTGTATACCAGGAAACCAATCACCAGATAATAAGCCAGCAGCCCAGGAAGTTATGTTCCCCTCCAGAAAATAAAGCAGGCCCACAAACTACTCTTTGAATGTAAAATGATTGGAAGTGTTGAAAATTCCAACTCCAAACAAATGGTCTATTCCAAAGGCACCACATGCATGCACACAGCTCAGTCTAATAGGTTGGCCAGAGGTTCACTACAGTAGTCAGCGGCCATCAGTGTCTAGCCTATTCACATTCTCCATCATTCAGACTGTTAGGACATATGTGGGCTTTTTTTCTCCCCCCTAATTGGCGGATTCAGAATGATCTGCAACATAATAGGGCAAAACTACTGTAACTACCAGGCCATTTAAACTTATTGGGCTCTGGTTGAATAGGCCAGCGTTACTGTAAGTGCAGCTGCTGCTGTTATGAGCTATTAGAATGGGACACTTGTTCAAAAGCCTCAAACCCCTCATTTCTCTCTTATAATTGGAACTGAATGGGGCTGGGCCTCCCCTGCTCCTCACTTATGCACACTTTTTGCCTTGATTGCAGCTTGTCCTTTTCTTTTTGTTCAGTTGATTTTCAATGTATTCAAGGCCACTAGACCATTCTTTCTTTATTTAAAAAATGCAGAAATACTATGAATTTAAAAAAAAAAATGTGTTCAAATGCTAAGAATTCCAGGCACTGCCCTTGATGTTTTTCAGAATAAAGTTAAGTAGTAGTTTGTTTTAAGAAAAAAAACAACGCATACCTACATAACACATACAGAGATTCAAGATTCCTAAAATATTGGTTTTCATTATTAGGTTTAAGAAGTTTGATCATAGATATTTACGGAAAATCCTAATTCGACAGAATCTACCGAAATCAAGCATTGTCTCTTTGTACAAGAAACTGGAAATGAAACAAGCTATTGAGATGGTGGAGTCTGGGATACTAAATTCCACAGCTTTCTCCATTCCTCAGCAGTAAGTCATGTCCGCTTCTCATCTAGGCCTTCTATGTCAGAATGTCAGAAGGAACTAATTCAGGGCTCCATTTAAAGGTAATACCAGAGAGAAGAGGCAGAATGATGAGTGTGTTAGTCTGATTTCCATTATGGTAAGAAATGCCTGAGGTAATCAGCTTATAAAGAGAAAAGGTTTATTTTGGCTCACAGTTTTGGAGGTTCCAGTCCATAATTAGTTGGCCGTGTTGCTTTTGGGCAACACAGTATGGCAGCAATACATGCAAAACTATTCATCTCACAGAACAGAAGCAGGGTCTGAGGTTCCAATATCTCACTCAACAGCATATCCTAATGATCTGAAGACCTCCCGTCTACAGGTTTTAAGGCCCCAGCTCTTAAATATTCCACCACCTGTTAATAGCACAAGGGCTATGGACCAAGCATTTAATACCTTTGGGGAACTCTTACCTATACCATAACAATGAGGAAGGAATCATAAACAATTATTGTCTAAATCTTGGCATTTTGTGGTTTGATTCAGGCTCAGCTTGTTTCACCTGGTTTCTGAGAATTACTTTCCAGCAAAAGTTGCCTCCCTGTAGTTATATGAAATCTTCCTTTGTGAGTGAGGAGCAAGTGAATTATAGAAGGATGGAATGGCTTATAAGATTTCTTTCCTTTTACTTTTAATCAAAAATCTTTTTCCTTTAAGCCCTGTTTACTTGATTATTTCTATCCTATTATTGTATTTCTTTTCCTGCAAGTCATTTTTCTTCCTCTGTGATAAGAGGAGAGACAAGTTAGCTTTCTGAGATGCTAACTTGGATTTGGGGATGTATCAGTAAGCCTTGTGTCACTATAACAAAATATTGACACAGGCTACTTGTGAAGTAGAGAGGTTTATTTTGGCTCATAGTTCTAGAGGTTCAAGTCCAAGGTCAGGTAGCTCTGTTAGTTTGGGCCTCTGATGACTGCAGCACAATATGGTAGAAACAGTGTTGGAGCAAATGCTTACATCTTGAACCAGGAAGCAGAGAGAAAGGAAAAAACTGAGGTCACAGAATCTTCTCTAAGGGCATGTCCCCAGTGGCCTAAAGACCTCTCACTAGGCTTCAGCTCTTTAAGGTCCATATAGACTCCACAATTGACACCCATGGAGACCAACCTTTTACATATGGACCTTTGGGGAACACCCATTCAAACTATAGCAGTGGATGAGTTGTGGTAGTATGAGGTGTGGTAGTTGGTGAGCTATTTAAAAAGAAAGCAGTGTTTTCAATTGTGTTTAAGGGCAAGGTCTAAATGAGATTGTGAGATGTGCTTTGAGTCTTTTTTGAGACCAGCTTGGAATAGGAGCAAGGAATTGGCTGGAAGACTCTAGGGAGTTGATGCAGAGGCAATGTGTATGGAGAGGCAATACCTGTCTATGAATCCACCATTACATCATGAGTGTCTTTGAAACATAGTCTGTCTCTTGAACTACCTACCAACCAATTGTCCTCAAAACTGGCTAGATATTTTTGAAAGCTGCATTAGTTCACTGATACTTAATAAGAGCCCCTTCAATATTACAAGAATTAATTTACCTCTCACAGAGGCTCTCTTCTAAGGAATGGTTTATGAATTGGGAAAATTAATAACAACATATATTTGGGAAAGGAGCACAAGCCTCCCTCTCCATCCTGTCATCTTCAGAAGGTAAAGACACTTGATCATGAGCTTCAAGCATATCCCTATATTAGAAAGGCAAGATGAGAGAAATGTGAAGAATAGGTAGCAATAAAATTGACACAAAGCTCTGGGTGTTATTTTTTAGGTAATACCTTCCCCCTTTACCTGCTAATGAATCAGAAATGCCATTGCTTTCTTATATGGCCTGGGAAAAATCTAAACTAGTGTCCCTGAGGTATCTCAGCATAAACAGAAAGCTTTCTGCCTTATGTCTTGGTGAGATTGTTTTTGTGGCTTGTTTGTTTGTTTTGTGCTGACCATTACATGATTTTAAGGAAACTTCTGATACTAAAATGGGAAAAGGCAAACAAATATTTTTGGCAATGCTGTACTGAGCCATAGTGGAGCTGGAAGCAACAGGAAAGATCAGGAATGCTGATCCTGTTTACCTTAGAATGATGCTATCTTATTCATCAAAGATTTTTTTTTGCATTTTCTAAAATATTGCATTCAAATATTCAAGGTATTACTTAATGACTGAACTTTTTGGCTTCCCCTTACATTTTCTACTTTAGCTGTAGTCCCACTTATTAGATGCCCAGTGTGTGCCACACACTGTGAAAGCAGACAGAGGCTCTGTTTTTGTGGGCACTGTACTCTAGTAAGATCATGACCTTAACAAAACAAAGACAACAAAATGTACAATCATATAGGATAGGGAGTTACAGGATCGTGTGAGAAGTGAGTCTCCTGAGGTCTCCGGGTATGTGACCTGCTCACTGAAGGATGAATTGGAGTTAATGCAATGGCTGAGGACCTACCGACAGCTCCAGGCAGTGTAGACCTTTAGGAACTTCCACAATTGGTTTGCTCTGTAGTTATGTGAGCACTTGGTCTAGGAATGTAGGGGTGCTTATCTCCAATGAGAATCAGTCTGTCATACTAAAGCCTGTTTTGAATCTCTGTATTACAGGGCATTTGCTATAAGCAACTGCTTCAATTTCTGACCACAGGGCAATTTTTAAACCAGCCTTATTTAGATTTCCTCCCCTTCCCCTTTGAGTTAATTATTTCTTCAGACATTGGTTCAAGATTAGTAAGTCTTACAGAAAAGGGGTTTATTTTTTTCCCCTCCTATATAGTCCACTATAGCCCTATCTATTTAGTTAACTGGGATGAGAGAAGTTTTTTGAAATCTGGTATTTAATACAACTTTAGTATCTAAATTGCATTTATTTGATCTCATTAGAAATCTGTAGGACGTCAAGCAAAAAGGAATTCCTCTCCTAAGATCAAAGCAGCTAATTTCTAAAAAAACAAACCTTTATACAATAATAGGAAAATGAAGTGTGTACTCAGCTCGCTTTTCATTATTCGTATGAGAGGATAACAACAAAATGCACATATATTTTCTTCTTTAGAAGTTTAAGCAATTGTTCTACAAAAGGTTTAGGTTTCCAAATTCAGTGACCTTCAGGAGAAAGCTACTGTCAGGGTTGTCTGTGGTACAGGTCATAGCACACTGATACCGTGGAATCCCATTGCTTTTACATTCATTAAATATTTGAACTTCAAAATCACCCTGTGGAATAGAAAGGATATATACTTTGATTATTAGTTCAAATATTGAGCAACTCATCTCACTCACGAGTGGCAAATTGTTAGAAATTTTCAGAGGATAGAAGCTCAAAATGATTAAAGAGATGAAGCTTTAAAAATAATTTGATTAATATTATAGGGATATTAAAATATTTATAAATTTAGTGGCATGACAAACTGCAACTGTACAACCTCAATGTATTGTACTTTAAAACTCCCAACTAATTTTGACATAGACTTTATTGTTTTAGGTGTAAAATAACTTCATTAGTATAACATCTTATCAAAATAGAAGAAAGGAAGACAGGAAGGAAGGAAGGAAAGAGGGAAAGAAGGAAGGAAGGAAAGGAAAGGCACATTCAAATAATTTGGATTCATATTTTCTCAGAAATTTCCTTTATGGATAATAAATGAATGTTCCAGAGACAAGTCTTCCAAGTTGTCATTTGAATCTTTTGACCTAGGCATCATCACCAGTTTAGTTTATCTAAGGATTGTATCTTTCCCATGCTTGTGATACAAGCATTCCAGGGATGCTTGTGTTAATGAAGTGACTCCAAGGAAACTCCATGTATCACCTCGCTCAAATTAGCCATGAATCTGCATAATTGGCGTTGCAGCTTCTCAGTGTGGATTGGGGGAGTTAATCCTTTGAGATGCCCCTATTACTCTCTCTAGCCAATAGCCAGTGTGGACTTCATTAAGTCTGGTCCTTCCCAAAGTGATCAATTATAAGCTGGGGAGAGTGCCAAGTTAGGTTTACTGCTATATCAAGTTTTACTCTGCCATTCCCTTTATCAGTCATTTTTCCTATTTGTTTTACCATGAACACAGAAAATGGAACTGTTTGACTAGCTTGTGTATCTGCTTAACAATACATTACACCTCCCATAATGAAAGAACGTGTTCTGATTGTGAGAGAATGTGTGTACCTCAATCAGAATAAATTTTACTTGGAGGACGTTTACACAGTTACGTTGAAACGCCTTGATAATAATGTTTAGATCACCAAGGGTGGTAACTGAAAATCAATACAGTTGACATTCGCAGCTATAAGATAGGAAACTCTGATTTCAATAATTTTGTAGAAAGGGCATTAGTCAATCGTTAGATAGCATTGCTAAATAAAATCCTGGCATAGTGGTATGCAGCATCCAAGCCCTTTAAAATATTTTACCAATCTCACATTACTTTCAAAATGTCCTTAATATTTATGACTGTATTGCTACTGATGTTCGAAAAAATACTTAAAGGGGGTCTTCATGTAAACTAATAACTCATCTCTGTGATCTAGCATCCTAAAAACATACAGAGGCAGAAACTGAGTCATTGGTGCCCTTATGCATTCAGAATAGCTGTAGCTAGAAGGAACAGGCGAAGAGGAAAACAGACAAAAAAATTTCAAGATGATAAGGAAGGTGGCAATATTAAAGGGAGGCTTTAATTTTCTTTAATTCTTTCCTTTTTATTCTTATGCCCAACAGTGAACACATAGTACTAGTCTAATAAAAAGCTATTTTTTTCTTTAAATCACAGCCACTAGATTGTAATCAAATACATTTGTCACATGAAAATTCTTCCCATAGCAATGTCCTGACTTAGAAATCCCCAGAGGACAATTGTGCATTGACTGCTAACCTGGGTCAGGTTTTAAACTCTTCAGGAGTTTGTGGTGCCAGTGTCTCAGAGCTGGGTTGACTTTCAGGTGCAAATGGTTTAATTCTTTTTGTAAAATGTGATGCCAGTTTCTGAAATTATTTCTTAACTATTGGGTAAAATCCCTCCAGGTGAATGTACTCACACAACTTCACTATTCTCTTCTAACCGGGTTGCTCGAAATGTGGTGTGTGGATGGCCTTGCTCTGTGAACTGGTTGCCAACTGGCCAGAGTGAGATTAAGCACGGGACTAACAAAAAGTCAGCATTTGGCTGAGTATTTTTTCTCCATTTAACTTAACAGTGAATATTGGGATATCATTTTGTGGTAAAATTTTCTGACAATTGATTTTTACTGTGTTCTACAAACATCAATTTATAACAGATTGAACACAGAAAATGGAGGAGTAAAAATTATTTGGTTGTAATCACCTTAAATCCCCTTTGCAAAATGGGTCAGAATAATTAGCACATGAAAACTACAAAAGCAACAGTTTTGAAAATTTAAGACACATGTTCTGACATTTCAGATCAATTTACTAAAATAGTAGGAATAATTATGTAAAAATACAGGTCTGGAAGTTGGGATTCCCACTTTTTTGTGGCACCTCTTGCTGAGAGGGAAGAATAACACTTGGTTTTCCTCCAGTGATGTTCCCAGGGCCCGAAGGATACAGGAAATCAAACGGCTTTCCCCTGAAGACGTGGAGTCCATGAGAGACATTCTGACACACAACATGTACCAAGTTCGACAAAGGGTATGTATGAACCCTCTGGCTCGCCCCTGCTGCCTGTTCTTGGAACCAGTTCTTCAGGAATCCATTTTGTTGGCATTGTCCTCTCTAAAGTGGCCTCTTGCTGAACAAGTTCTCTCTGCTTGGTTTGGAGAACAGAAAGCTAATTGTTACATTTCTACTGCAAATCTGCACCTGCGGCATAAAAAGAAATGTAAATCCAGTTGCTGTCTCTAGGGGTCAGGCTACCCCAGCCCTTTATCTTGGAGCTTTCCAGAACTTGTGACCTCCCTGTACTCCAAAGACATGACAGACATGCAGTCTAATTCATCCAGCACAGAAAAAAGATGGCACCAGGACACTGGTGACCATCAAGTTGACTAAGTGATGTCAACTATAATAAAAGGTAAAAAATTGCATTCAGTTAGGTTATAATATTGGAGCTATAATGCTGAAAGCCAGAGCAAAAACAGACATATTAGGCAACTTATTTTTAATTTTGGAACTGGGTCTGGAATCTGCACTACTCCTTAGGAACTAGTCCAAAGTACATAGAAGAATATTTCTGGAAATAATGGATGAGTATTTCAGAAACTTTGATTAAATTAAAGGATAGTTAGACTGATGTCATCTCTATAGGAGCTTTTTGTTGAGGACTCAATTGTCCATCCTAGTTCTTGGGTGTGATTGTAAGTATGTTCATTGTGAGGGCCTTTGTTTCTGTGATTATGTCATAGATCATAGTCTTAATGGGATTTATAGTCAAAACTCATTTTCAAATGGAAGATACTGGTTTTAGTGATGCTGATGATTTGACTTGTTTAAGGTCACACAATAAATCCGGGTTAAGAACACAGATCTTCCAACCACCTACCCAGTGTTCCTTCCCTGACTCCAGATTTATGTAATCCAGTGAAAATGAGTGTTCTGTTTCAGAAAGGTTGATGAAGGACTGTAGGTCAGTTTTGCAGATAGCGTGTTTAGAAGTAAATTCCACAGCCTTTAAATCATTCCAAGTGAAACTGTTTCAGTAAGACTATCACATCCTGCCTTTAATAAATAGAGAAGAACTTCCTGTTTGAAGAATGTAGCTAGTGTAGTGCGGGACATGGCCTGCGGGGTACCTGGCACTCAGCATTTTCCCCACCTTGACGAACTTAGGGAAAGGATCAGAAATGGAGGTGGACATTCTGAAACTCCAATTCAATCTCAAGTGGTTCTTTCCTCTCTCTCCTTCCCCAGTACAGGTTCCCATATGGCCCCCTTTCTTCTTTTGTAAGATTCCTCCTCTATCTCTCCTTCAAAGTTCTCCCTTCCAAGCTACGCAGCACCTCCATTCCTTGTTGCTCCACATTTAAGCTCATGGTCCTCTTCTCATGTAAAGTATGGAACTGCTGAACAGGTTGTCCATGACCTGTCCCCACCTTTCCTTGCTCCTCCAGTCTCATTTGTCACTACACTTTGAATGACATACTTCGTTTTCATGATAACAAACTCATCCCCCATGCTAAGTATCATGGCGAGTCAAATGAGAACATGGTTAATGCAGAGCACCCTTACAACTGTGAGATGCCTTTTACCAGTGCTTTCAGTACTTTGAGAGTGAGGCTCACCAGCCCTGCTCCTTCCTGTCTTTCCTTCTAAGTCTACCTTTAAGAGGATAGTGACAGTCCTGTCTTCTGCCATGGTCCTTTTGCTCTTTTAAAGGGAAAACCATCCTGAAAACACAGTCTAGAGAACTGTTCATCCACTCTTTCCAATGGATAATCTATGTTTTTAAGGGTTGACACATGGGTGTATGGAAGCCATCTGCAGTCCTCAAGCCTGAGTGATAGGTGCAGAGTGGGGGATTTCTCACTGTCTGGGTCTTGGAAGGGTGTGTCTTGGGAGTAAGAAGTCACTTCAGTGCAGGCAAAGATGAGTATATGATTGACTCTGGGGAATCCTACAACATAGTTATCTGAAACCAAATTGGCCCTGGTGGGTCTGCAGACGCTCTCACCCCTCAGCAGGTCCAGGCTGAAATCAATGTGGGTAGGAGGTTGAGGGACAAAACTCAGGAAATTCCCAATGGGACAACCATGGAGGAAGGTCTCTGGAACACAATGGAATGGGGACTGAGAAGCATTCTGTCCAAATGTACAAAAGAAGAAACCATCCTTGGCCCAGGCACAAGGAGAGGTCTCAGATTGATCCACAGTCACTGTGGTGGTCTAGGTGATCAGATCACTCTAAGAATTTCCATAAAGTTCCAAAGCAAGGGAACAAATTATTCAACTTCTGTTCTCTTCAGCAAATAGTTAATGTGCATCCAAAGGTGCCAGACTTAGGGACATTGCACATTGAAATACAAAGTATTTTTCTCCCATAAAACTTAAGGTTTCGTGGGAAAAACAAGGAACCACCTCTGTCACAATAGGACAGAACTGGGCACTGGTGGCTCATGCCTATAATCCCAGCTACTCAGGAGGTAGAGGTCAGGAGGATCGCAGTTCAAAGCCAGCCTGGGCAAATAGTTCTCTAGACTCTATCTCAAAAAAACCCAAAAAATCTCACCAAAAACGGCTGATGGAGTGACGGAAGAGGTTAAGAGTGCCTCAAGCAGTAAGAGAGCCTCCCTAGCACGTGTGAGGCCCTGAGTTCAAAACCCAGTGCCTCCAAAAAAAAGAACAAATAAAACAAACAAATAAAAAACAAGAGGGCATAAATGGAGAGAGGAAAGAGAAGAAACTAGTACACACATTATATGCATAGGAGCATCTATATAGTTGCTTCAGACAGACAAACAAACAAGGATGACAGTTTCTGAGGCAAAATACAAGTACAAGTGTCCAAATGTTACTTGAAGTACAGCTTCCTCCAAAGTCTAGGTATGGAAATTCCTTCTATGACTATATGTTTACACACACATATACACATAGATGTATACATAAACATGTACACATGTACATATACACTGAACTCAGATTTGCATGACTAGCATTGATGGAAAATTGTAAAAGTTTGACTACATATATTGATTTAAGCATTAAATATGCTTATCATAGTGTCATATTGTTTTTAATATTTCAATGTATAAAATGTACTTAGGTTAAGGTCTGTCCTTAGAGACGATGGATAAGAATTCCTATTTCAAACTGTGTTCACAATTAAATTTTTGGCCAAATTCTTGTCAGCTCCTATTAGGGAAAGCAGAAAGTCAGCTTTGCCCCTGCCTCCTTGTTCTGTTGGCCTTCAACGTGTGCCTTTTGTGTGTAGTACTTTTAGGCAATTATGTGATTGTTAAAGATTTATTCAGTTAAACAGATAATGAAAGTCACCAATGTAATTAACCTGATGCCTAGTCACTAACACTCAATAGCAGAAAGCCAGTGAAACTCTGGAGGGCACTGTTTCACCCTCTCCTTGTTAGGAACATCATCTTCTGTTCAGACAGGAAACTGGAAACTCTCATGTCTAGACCAAGTAAGGTCTGTCATAGATCCACAGATCAAGAAATAATGAAGATTAATCTCTTGAATTTTTTGAATAGAAAGGGAAGTATTAATATTTTCTTTTCTTACCCCAGGGATCATATCATAGCACCTTGGAGTTTGTGCCCTCTACCAGAGTGACACATGATCACAAACTCATTTCTGGATCTTTGCCAGTGCCCCCTTGTACTTTCCCTTCAAGTTGGTTAACAGATCCTGTCTTAGTTCTTGTGATCTTTCTTTTCAGAACTTAACCCTCCAGATAGCACCCACTCATCTTTCAAGACGCACTTCAGTGTCATAAACCTGACTCTTCCAAGCCTAATTAAGTGCCTTTTGCCTGTACTCCATAATTCCCAGATGATCCAACACATACGACCCACTGAAGCACATATTATCTCATTATATGCTGAACTCCCCCAGAAGACTATAAGCCATTGGAAGGACAGAATCCTAATTTATTCACTTTTAAATCCTGTACTTTTGCTTCACCTGGCACACAGAATAGCCACTCTATTGCAGTTGAGCTGCTTATCGTCTTCAAAGCATCCATTAAGCAGTGGGGATAACATCTGAGGCTGAATGCTAGTATCCAGCAGGATTTGTGGGTGTATTGGTGCACATAGTGTGTCATCTGCTCGCCCCAGAGAAACTGGGCATTCTTGAGGTGGGGGAGAGGGAGGGGGCGGAGTGGGTGGTAAGGGAGGGGGTGGGGGCAGGGGGGAGAAATGAACCAAGCCTTGTATGCACATATGAATAATAAAAGAAAAATGAAAAAAAAAAAAGAGACTGGGCATTCACTGATAAACCTGGAGTAAGCAAAAAGGGGGAGAAGAAAGTCAGTTAAGAGTCTTGCAAATATTTGTTTAAGATGTGATGTTGGCCTGTGGTCAATGACAAATTTTTACTGGTCTGGGGTAAGGGCAAAGAAGAAATGAATCATGAAGCTAAGTTGATTTGATTCGATGGACTGTTCCTTATTATCCGATTTTATCCTACTCTCTTGATTTTTAAAGACCTCTTCCTTTCTGAATTGGCAATAATGATAACAAAAATGATTGATTTGGGGGGGAATGGGTGGGAGTATGTTTCCTTAATTGGCAAATTGGAAAAGATTAACCCTGTGGAAATTCCCAAAGTAGTTTTCCATCTTTCTTATCCATTCAATCAAAATACCTAGGAACCGCTGGCCTAGCATTTAAAACTATCTGGGAACGATGGGGGTGGAGCAGCTACGGTCTGTAGGCGCCTGAAGTTGGTGGGGCTGCTGAAGGGGTTACAGAAGGCACAGGCGTAAGACAGAGCTCAGCCTTGAGAGCCGTGGTGATGGCAGACCCCTTTCAGGAGGAGGCCTGCTTCGTGTGCTCCAGGTGGTGCTCAGCCCAGCTGAGGTCCTCAGTGCCTGGCTGCCCCAGCAGCTCGGGTGCACCATGTTCCCGGGGCCTCCTGGGGCTGAACCTTGCGCTAGGGAAGTTCTTACTTGCCTTTTCGTTCTCTCTGCAGACCCTGTCCTACAACAAATACAACCTCAAACCACAAACAAGTGACAAGCAGGCTAAAGAGATTCTGATTCGCCGCCAGAACACTTTGAGGGAGAGCATGAGGAAGGGTCACAGCCTGCCTGGGGGAAAGCCGGTGCGTGGGTGCTGCTGACATGTGACATTTTTTCAGTCTGCAGATGTTTATCACCTGATACCTGGGTCTATTTCTGGCCAGTGCCTCTCTGGCACTTTGTTGCCAGAGAGAGTCAAAGGCAAAAGAGGGTAGGGCACCCAGGCAACCTCCTCCCGCCTCACCCCCCACCCCCACCAGGGCGTCAGGGACCAGAGGTAGCTGCGCATGAGGTCTGCGGCAGTGAACTGCCCTCTAGGATAGATCAGCGATTGCGACATGGCTCCAGGGCCAAGTCTGGACCGACACCCCATGAAGAACAGGTGCTGAACATCCCAGGAGGTTATAGGGAGGGATTGTTCTTGCTAAGACTTGTGAGCCTCCTCTTGAAGTCACCTACCATGTACCTCAACTCTCCCTGTTTGAGGCCATATCAAAATGGAGGCTGGATCTAGGACAGATGCTGACCTTGATCCTAAGCCCAGGTAGGCTGTGGGAGTAACTAAAAAGTTCACAGTGGTTCATTTTACCATGAGAGAGAAGGGAAATACTCTTTTTTTAAAAGCTGGTAATGAAGCAAGGCACCTTGGTACAGGTCTGTGTTTTTCTCTTTATTTGTCACGGGGAGGTCTCCAGTGCAGTAGCTCATTCCGCTTTTTTTTTCCTACTTGTTGCCCACAGGCTGGCACCAAAAACATTCGCTACCTCTCCTTCCCCTGCAGCCATCCCCAGCCAGCAAGGAGAGAAGGGAGGGCTGTTGAATCCACAGGTAACCTGATGTTTGTACACTCTGTCTTTTTCCTATAGAGAGTCACTTGGTAAATATTTGGGGGTTTGCGGGCCAAGAGGCAAAAATCAAGACTATTATATAGGTACTCATACGGCACCAAGAAGAACACAAGTTCTAGTAGGGGTGAAATTCAGAATTTTGTTTATGGACAATGAAATTTGAATTTTATATAACTTTTACTTGTCAGGAAATATTCTTTCCTCTGATTTTTTTCGGCCATTTAAAAATGTAATGATAATTCATAGTTCACAGACCAGACAAAGAGAAGGTCCTAATTTGTTGTGCTCCAGTTTAATTTGTTGGGCTCCAGTGACATTGTGGAATTCACCTTCAATTTAAATATGAGCAGAATTCTGCAAAGTTGGTTAACTTTTGCTGAATAATTCCAAAATTTACTGATTAAAAATTTCCCATTTAACACTTAAATGGGAATCTCAGAATTACTGAAACTGCTTATTTTTCTAATAAAAGCCAAGTTAATGTGCTTTAAATGATGACTTTCTATCAACAAAAGGTGACATATAATGTATGTCATATGCCATGTTATCTATGTTGATCTTCATAAAATTTTAAACATTAAAGATCACATTGAGAATTCAAGTAAACTACACATAGAATTTTAGAACATAGATTTTAAATCTTTAAAAAATAAATATAATTCACTAAAATGAGAAATTTTTTCTGGTTTAAAAACATGCTTTAGGTAAAATCAAAATTGGTAAAGACAAAGATCAATAAAGGAAGTTAAAAGCACTTGAAACACCGATGCCCAGATATAACCACCACAGAACATTTTGATTAGCATCTTTCTATGATTCTCACTATATTCTGACTCCTACATTACCCATCCCTGATACAAAGAAAAATCACAAAAACACAGCATCACATTACACATAAATTCAAATTTTAGTCATTGTTTTGTAAGCTTTATAAATTGACCTAATTCATTCAACAGTATCTTGTAGACAGGTTTCCATGTCAATAGATATGAGTCTAGTCTCATTTTAAATGGCTTAAAAATAGTCAGTTACATAGAAATATCATAGCTCACATAGCTAATTCCAAATTAATCAGCACCCTTAGGTCATGTGTGGTTGACTGTTGTACAAATAACCAAGTATTCTCTTAGTGTGTTTTTCTGAAAGTAAAAGTTTAAGGTAAAAATCATATGTATTTTAAAAATTTTAAGTTTTATTTTACTTTTTATTGACACATAGCGACTATACACTGCATATATAGCGAAAATGCCACTTCAATTTACCACTACAGCAAAACTATGTGAAATGGTATTTTCAAAACTGGGCTGTTGTCAAACTTTTGAGTATTTTACAACATGATAGCAAAAATTTATTTTGCATATTTAATTTTCATGTGAATCTCTGAATTTTAAGTGAGGTTGAATACCTTTCTTATTTTGGGGGACAATTGCATTTCTTCTGGGGAATTTGTTTTGTGTCTGCTTTTCTCCATTTTGTGTCGGCTTGGTGCATTTCTGTAGATAAAGTTGAGGAACTCTATCTTACATGGGTATCATCCATTTCTGCTCCTATCTGTTGCTAAGCATTTTCCCTCAAGTTTCATATTTATCTTTTAGACATATTTGCTATTTGATATTTTATTAAATCTGCTCAAGCTTTCATAGAAAAATTAGAAAATGATTTGCCCATTTTTTTCACTTGAATTTTTGATAGAGTAGTTTTCTCATTTAATTTCTATCTATCTGAGTTTTAGCTTTGTGTGAGGACTAAGGTAAAGATGCACTTCAGATTGTTTTCAATGGCTGTTCTCCTATTTCTTCTCTGCCAAGATGAAGTGCTACCTTTGCAGTATTAAAGCCATCTTGAAGAGAGCTTTGGACTCTCAGTTCTGTTTCATCAATCTAGTTATCTGTTCCCAGATCATGCTCTATCTAGCAACTAGTACTATTTGATGTTATCAATGGGCTCCCCTGCAAGCAAAACAAGAGAGGGACAAAAATAGGGCACATAATAGATTTAAAATGATTTCCTGTTGCTATTTTTGCCATTTTTGAGTAAATAGAAAAGAAAGTGTCACAGTTATTTCTTGTAAGATGAGGCTCAATAGCTCATGACTTTGACTCTGGTAGCAGAAATGACCACAAAGCAAACCCACTCGAGCACTAATGTGAAATCTTTAAAAAGCATTATTAAAAATCCTCACAACACTAAAGTAATATTACACCTTGCAAAGTGTATTTATTTCAGAAGGTGGGAGTCATTTAACACTTAAAAGTGTATTCATATTATTCACCAGATGACTACATGAAAGGATCATAGCCTTCAATAGATGCCCTTAGAAAATGGCATCTCACTCATACTTTCAATAAAAGCTATTAAATGCCTGGAAATTTTATCTGGGGTTGTCTTAGCCTGTTTTCCATTGCTACAACCGAGCTCCTGAGACTGGGTTTTTTATAAAGGGAAGAGGCACGGAAGTTCAAGATTGGCAGGTCCTCACAATGTGCCATGTCATGGTGGATGGCATCACACAGTGGCAGTGAAAGTTGGAAAGAATGAGCTGTGGTGAGCGGGCACATGCAGAGGGAAGAGTTCAGTGGAACTGTCCCATCTTATAACAACCTGATTTTGAGAGAACTGATCCAGTCTTCTGAAAAAGACATTAGTTCCTCCTAGAGGTTCCATCTCCCAACACTGTCACATTGAAAAATTATGTCTTAGCGTAAACTTAGTGGGGACATATTCAAACTGTAGCAAGAACCTATATGAAAAAACAAATTAAATTCTACTCTTCACTGTTGCTTCAGTTCTGTAAAGTAGGTAGCATTGGTACCCCCACATATAATTGATTGCCTGGAGGTAAAGCCAGTCACATACACATAGGCTACACACATGAATAGGGAACATAAATCTATCAGAACAGGGCTTATAAACAAGCAGGCTTGCAAGAAGTATTAGCCAACTATGATGCAGAAATACTGACTGTTTCCAATAAGAGAATGTTGGTGAGCTGCACATAAATTTGACAGATAACTATACAGTCTTAAGTAAGGGCAGTAAATTATCCATTTTTTACTAGAGGATTTCTTTAAAAACTGTGTGCTATTAAACACTTCCTGCAAAGATGGTTTCATTAGTATCTTGATCATGGTGTTTTAAGATTTTTCTGGTGTCCCATATTATAAACATATTTTTGTCAGTTATAAACATTTGAGCATACTGTGTGAGCTCTAGTTGTGGGGTTTTGGCTTCTTTTGTTTTTTTTTTTTTCTTTTCCTTAGGAGGGAGTACAAAGTAGGAGAAAGAATAGGGTTTTCAGATTTATACAAAAATGTCTGAAAATACTGAAATTCTCAGGAGAATATTTAAAGGAAAAATAAATTCATAAGATTATTCTCATTTATATGAGATTTGCAAAAATATTCTGTTGAAGGTACACTGAAGTGGTGAAAAGACAATGTTCTATGTATGGTTAGGTAGATGGGAGATAACTGAGAAAGCACATTACCTGGACACCTACATCTCATAGTGTAGATTTACATGGCACAAGGAATGTACAGTCAGCTTTCGGTATCTAGAGGACCCCATCTGAAGATTCAACCCACTGAAGATCAGAAAAAATGTACTAAACATATACACTTTTTTCCCTTGTTAATATCCCCTAGTCAACATAGTATAACAACCATTTACATAACATTTGCATTTAGTATGTATTATAAGTAATCTAAATATGATTTAAATTATACTGGCAGGTGTGCATAGGTTATATGCAAATACTACACCATTTAATATGAAGGACTTCGTCATACCAAAATCTGGTATACCCAAGGGGTTCTGGAACTAATTCCCTAGGATACTGAGGGTCGCCTTACAAATGAGATGGCATAGGCTGATGGGAAAGAGTGAATTAGCAGCTGGACAGACTGTTGCCTGGACTCCTTTGTCATCTTCACCAGCTGCGTGATATTAAAAGTCACTTAATCTTGGGCAACTTTGGGTACTTTCCCTAGGAAATGAGGATGATTTTACTTGTCTCACAGGGCCATTCAGAGGATTAAAAAATGGCATAGTATATGTAAAATGATTAGCGCTGTAGCAGGCCATAGTAAGTTCCCATCAGTGCAAGTTCCCATGCTCGTCACTGTCACCAGGTACCAACCATAAACTGCTCTCCCACCTACTCATTTGGATGGACAGCATTAGTCACATCCTGATCTTTGCTGTGATTTTCTGTGCCTTGAATCTGCATCTCCAAAGTTGGCCTTGTCAAGGTCAAAGGGATGAAACTCAGACATAAAGCTTTCATCCAACTATCCATTAAAAACCAACCAGGCATGGTGGCACAAGTCTGTAATTGTTACATGCAGGAGGCTTTGGCAGGAGGATTGTGAGTTCAATGCCAGCCTGGGCTACTTAGCAAGACCTTGTTTCTAAAAACCAGTGGCTGAGGAATATAGCCCAGTGGTTAGAGTGCTTGCCTAGTATGGGCAAGGCCCTGGGTTATACACACACACACACAAAGCCAATCACATGCACATGGCAGTACCATGTAACCTTTAGTTTTGCATTGGCTTTATGATTTATGTCCCTAGGTTGCGCCTTATGGTTTACATAACCCTGGTCAATTAATCTGATCTTGGTCAGACTGGCTTGACACTCTGGTTTCCATAGATTTCCATTTATTTATAACACTGCACATATAGCATCTGTCCCATCAACCCCTTGGGGTGGTGACCTCGCAAGGGAAAATCATGCTGATATGAAAGGAGTGTGCAAGAACTGGTACCTCATGAAGGGCTTGCTTCTCTTTGAATTTTTGCCATCTGGAAACAAAGTCTTAATTCTCATTTCATGTCTTGTTCTTTCTCTTTTTTGTCATGATGTTTTCCTAGATGATGATAGCAGCAATTCAGGATGTCCATCCATCACGTTCAGCCCATACTCTCAAACAGGGTTGCTTCAGGAAAGACGACCTACACAAGAAATGATCCCAATGAAGCCCTTGCACAGAGGAGGAAAGGCATTCAACTTAGGCCAGCAAGGCGACAACAGCCAGGAAGAGCATGGTGGCAGAGGCAGGAGGGTGGTTTTGAGGCCCAAGCCTCTGTTTCACGCTGTGCATGAGGAGTATGAATCTGAAGGGGAGACAGAGGAGGAGGCTTCAGCTACTCAGTCTAGATGGTCAACTGAGCACAGACATGGCAGGGAACGTTACAAGTCCCATAGTCCTTTGCTCCAAAGAAAATAGTTCTGTCCCCAAGACTGCCTCTGCGTCTTGAGTTTACTTTTGGGCATGTTACAAGAGCAACTCTAAGAGTGATAAGTTGAAGGCTGAGTCACATGCTTAGCTGGTGTACCTTTGCAGATGAATTCTCAGTGAGTGATAGAAGTTAACCCCACCGATCCTAAGAATTTCTAAGAAATTCTATTCAAGACCTGAAAGAACTTCTTATCAAGACCATACTGAAATATAAGTATGATTGTTCAGTAATTCACATTGACTACATATATGTGTAACTTATCATTAAATTAGAACTAGGAGGGGAATTTGAAGTCACCAGGCTCAACATCCTTGTTTACAGATAAGGAGCAAAATGTCAAGGTCAAGGAACCAAGGTCCTATGGTGAGTTGTCCTCCTTCCAAAGTGAATACATATGGCTTTGATTTTCACGTTATGGATAATCACATCTCAAAGCAGAGGTAAAATTTATTATAACATTGTTATATTTAATCACTGGTAATGATAGCTATGATGTACGCTATAGAATTAATCTTTGAACCATGCACTTGTAGTGTGTTTTATAATTAGAATATTGATTTTAGAAACAAACACTGGAAACACAATAGCCACAAAGAAACAGTTAAATAACAATGACGTTAATCACAGGTATTTCTTACATGTGTGTTTACAGGGTGTGATAGTTTTTCTGTTGAGTTTGGGGACTATTCTTCATTAATTTTTCATGCCTTCTACCCCCAAACTTGAGCTTAAAACTTATACTCCAGAGCTCCAATTTTACAAAACTTCTTTATCTTTCCTTCCTCCTTCCCCTCTCTTCTTTTTTTGCTTTCTCATGTCAGTGCACCTGTAGATTAGTAAATGTCTCAAATGTTATGTGAGTCAAGTGATCAACCGATGATAGTAAATTCAAGCCCCTTTAACCATTGTTTTTTGCATCTCCCCCAAGTGATCTAATCTTGCTTATCTTTAAAAGCCACATCCAAATGCTTCCTAAAACCTGCCTTGACTCCCATAATCCCCATGTGCCCCTGCATTCCTCAGGCTATGTGTGGGAAATTCTCTGTGAGTTATGCTTATACATGAACATGCATGTTTATTCTGGTAGCTCATGGCCCAAATGACAGGGAAGAAGTTTGTTCATTTTAAGTTTTTAGAAATATCTCTTTGCTTTACCCTTTTCTATTTTTTAGTTTAATTAATTTTTTCTCTTTTCAGTTGTCACAGCATCTTCCACATGGTAGACTACTTATAAATGTTGCAAAGACAATAACATTTTAGAGCTGGGAGGGATGTTAGAAATGGTCTTGTTAGATAGTCTTATTTTCCAGATGTCAAAACTGAGATGCTAAGGAAAGCAGGTTTAGAGTCTACTTTCCCTTGGGAAAAAATGGCTTGTCCTCCACTGTGACATATGGATACTGTTATTGACTAAGGGCAAATCCTTTGCCCCAGGTTTATGTTTTGTGAATGATTTTTACCCATGTTCCCACTGCAGTGGTAGAAATGGCAATGGCAAAGGCCCTTTATCTTTCTTCTTCTGGATCTGAAACAGAATCCTGCTTCTAAATTACCTAAGCATTCTGATTTTAATAAAAATTATATACTACCAAATAATAGAAATCAGCCCAAAGGGATAAAAGGACATATAAAACTCAAGAATCTGTGTAATTTTATGTTTAAAGAAACAGTTGATCAACCTCTATGCCTCATAAATGAGAGGCAATGAGTATTATTCTTAAACTGTAGTGGGAGGTACAAAGGTACATGGGGGTCACCAGAGTTCACCAATACAAAGTCATGTGTAAACTGACTTTTGAGAGATAATAGAACCTACAACCCTTCCTGGACTCCATCCACAAAGCAACAGAAATCCACATTGCAAGGGCCCCTTCCTAGAGTAGCCAGTAAGGATTAGTGCATCCACAAACTCTCCTGGTTTTCACTCAGATGCTGGTGCCATTCAGAAGAGGGGTGGTAGGACTTAGAGAGCAGTTTTAATTGGTAGGAACTATGGGGTAAACCTCCAGCTGGATGAAAAACCACCTTACTTTCTTAGGCAGAGGTCAAGCTCAGACTAAAGAGGTGAGCCATTCAGGTTAGTAAGCAGTGGAAGGTTTGTACAAAGTAGTCCCAAGGCCGGCAAGACAAGGTAAATGTCCGCACTTGCAACTCATGCCTGTCTAACCTTGTCTTCTGCACAGTAGTCCCCCTTACCTACCCAAGATCCTGGGTGGATGCCTGAGCCTGCAGATAGTACTAACCCTCATGTATTTTATTTTTTTTCCTGTATATACGGAGCTATGAGTAAGTTCAATTTATAAAGTAGACATAGCAAGAAATTAATAATAACTACAACTAGAACAGTTATAATTGTATAATGTACAATCTTATTTTAAAAATGAATTATTTATTTCTGGAATTTTCCATTTAATATTTTGGACAGCAGTTCCACTGAAACTGTGGAAGTTGGAATTGAGGATAAGGGAGAGCCACTGTATCATGAAAAGTAAAACTGTGAAAAAAGGAAAAAAAACTTATTTGGTGGCTATTTCCTTCCTACCTAAAGGGATTGGTTGGGTTCATGTCACCTCTCAGCTTTCCTAAGGTGAAGCACTTTTGGGGTAGCAGCAGTTACCTTGATCCTCTGGTCACTGCCTCCTGTATTTCAACAATTATGTAACCAGAGTACATTTTAACAACAGGAGCCATATAAAGAGTTGTCTTCCGGAAGGCACTTGTTCCTCTGCACTCTAAGTGGCCAGGTTGGGAAGTGGCCCCAAAGCTTCTGCCTAAATGTGTGAGAGGTTGAGGACCCAGTGATGCTAGTAACTCTGTCAGACTTGGAGACTCATAGTGAAATGCCTCATTGGATATCCAGTATTGTTTCAAAACAAGGATCCAGTTGGCTTCCATGTGCTCCTGGTGACAGCCCATGCTAGCGGTTGGTTGAGGGTTAGCAGGTGCCCCAGAAATGCTTGTGGGTGTCAGTTTCACTGTAACAGATTTTCTAACAGGCTCTAGGCAGAGCAGCAGGGGAAGTTTCTTCTTAGGTATTGAGGAAGACCTAGATGTTGCCCCTTCCTCACCTGGGGAGGGATCCAAATTGCATAAGGATCCTATCCAGAGCCTGGCTCAGATCCACTGAGCAATCAACATTCCCTGCCAGTGGCTCTAAAGAATTTGTCGTTTTATCTTCAATATCCAAAAATCTTACAGAAAATACACAAAGTCCTAATTTATCTATGAATTTTTGTTTTGTATTGTTTGTTTTTTAACTTTCCGAAAACTATTTATATTGTCAGTCTGAAGGGTCTTAGGTTTTAAAGTGAATTCTAAAGTTGAGTAAAGTGCCATTTCCTTTAACCTATACCCAAAAGGTTTCACCTTAAAGGTTTTCCACAAATTTTCTGATGCTTGGGATTCAGTAAATGTTCTTTATCCATCCTTTTCAACTCTGGCATGATGCATGGGCACCCCTCTTGTCTCTACCTGCTAAAACAGAAACTTTGGCCATGGGAGAGAATCTGCTACAATGGAGTAGAGAATAAACTATTCTGCACACTTTGCTGTTCTCTCATTCTTCTCTTTCTCTCATGAAGGCTGTGTAGTTCTGCATTACCTTCTTGGAAAAAGATTAAGCATTAAGAGATAGACCAGTGGTAGAATTACCATTCTGATGTAAGGTATGTGTGTAGGCAGAACTCAAGTCATCAGCCGGGAATGCTGGTTTCAACCTACAGGGAAAACTTTCTTTTTTTTTTTTCTTCTATTATTCATATGTGCATACAAGGCTTGGGTCATTTCTCCCCCCTGCCCCCACCCCCTCCCTTACCACCCACTGTGCCCCCTCCCTCTCCCCCCCACCCCCTCAATGCCCAGCAGAAACTATTTTGCCCTTATTTCTAATTTTGTTGTAGAGAGAGTATAAGCAATAATAGGAAGGAACAAGGGTTTTTGTTGGTTGAGATAAGGATAGCTATACAGGGAGTTGACTTGCATTGATTTCCTGTGCATGTGTGTTACCTTCTAGGTTAATTCTTTTCAGGGAAAACTTTCTCACCTACTCATATAGGTGCTCGCCATGCTGACCATTTAGATTTGAAATCATATGGTTAATTCAGAGCTCAGTCTCTGAAGTCAGACCATTTCTAGCCCTCAGACCGTGTAAAAATTCATTTTTGTTCCTAAGCTGAAGTTTACCCATTGATAAAATAAAAATACTAATTTTACCTGACTTATAGAATGATCATGAGGTTTAAATGACACAATAAATATGTGAGTTTTTGATTAGTGTTTGTTTTATAGTAAGACCTTGATCACTTTGGCTGTCATTATTTAGACTACAGAATATGCACTTATAAAAGAGGATATTTATTGATTTAATGACATGAAGCCTTCTGAGAGGTGGTCTGGCTGACAGAATAGAGGACACTTGAGAGGACTAGGGACAGGATGTGGCAAAAGTACAGAGCACTAAAAAATGTAGTCACAGCTCTACTTGGACATACCTCACTCCAAGTCCATCAGTCAAGAGCAAAAGCAGAAACAAGGTCTAGATATGGATTCACAGTTTTCAATCAAAGCAAAACCTCATCTTTCTTATTTCTTTGTCATTACCTCAAAATAACTGCATTTTACTGCTTTGGGGGCAGTTATCCTGATGTGTCTTTCTGATTTTGATTTATTTTCAAAGAGACTGTGAACTTACCATGACAGGCAGTCAGTGAATAAAAGGTGAAATTTCTATTTTCTTTTGGGGGTGGGAGGATAAAACTCAATGGGATTTAATTCCTCAGCTTATAAATTCTCTTCCAAAAAAGACCTTCTTTTCAAAAATGTGACTATCTTCACTTATGTATATTAACTGGAGAGATAAGTGGCTAAGCATTTTCAGTATATAAAATAGTGTGTAATATGCTTCAGGATGCTGTAAAATTAGGCAAATCAAGTTAAAAAATAAAGTCAGCAAATGTGTTGGTGTTGCCTAATGTTTTTGCAAATATCT